CTCCCTCTCCCATCCTCTCCCTCTCCCTCTCCCTCTCCCCTTCCTTTTCAGCTGCCGGAATCTTGAAGTTGACCAAAATGAAGTGAAGCGTAGCTTTTGCACCGTGGGAGTTCTTAGAGCCATGATTGGGCAAAATAGAGCACGATGTTGACAACCAGCCACAAAGACTCCTCGTTCACCAAGGCGAGGTGTCAGTGATGAGTTGCAATGCCTGCAGAGATCGGTCTGGGACACCAGACATTTGGCATTTGGGCCTGTGCTTTTTGTTCCTAGTAGCGTCCTTGCTCCTAGTAGTAAGGCCAGGAGCCCCTAGTAGCATCCTTGCTCCTAGTAGCGATGCCAGGAACCCCTAGTAGCTTCTTTTGAAAACATGGCTTCATACTATGGCCAGAAAGAATGACTGGTAGAAGTTCATTTGCCCAGGCCAGCTCTGGCAGAAGTTCTGCGGAGGTGGCTTTAACTATGGCTAGTCGAAATGCCGGGAGCTACTATTAGCTTCTTGTTACTAGTAGTTGTAATATTTTTTTTCCTAGTTTGGATAGTCTTGGAGGCAGTGGTAGCTTTCCTGATCACTGGTCTGCCAGCCGAAAAGTCATCGTCACTCAGCCCAGACTCACGTGTCAGGTGGCTGCCGGCTCAGGTGCGGGGGCTTTTTGAGAACCATCATGGCATCCAAATCTAATGGCACTTTTTCTGTGTGATGTTGTGTCAAAGGGAGGACTGTGTGGACGTTGCAGCGTTGATACTAGCCTTGTGGCTCCAGCTGCTACCATAGATGGGATCCTGGGACTCGGCTCATGGCACTCATGGGACTCGTTCGTTACACGGTACCAACAGTTCGCTGCTGTACTCATGAGTCTTGCTCTGTCACTACTTATGGTACTAAGTTGCTTTGCTCCAAATGACAGGTGCTGACCCCGTTGTGAACACACTTCACTCGTCATCACCCACTGCCCAAGCAAAACCCAAATTCTGATATTGCTTGCCTAGCTGCTAGCTCCAAAGCTGGATTGTGGGACTACCCATAAGCTTTGTGACAGCTATGGCGCGCGGCCAGAAGCGCTTGAGCCTCAATCGCTGCATTTCGGTGGTCCTTAGACAAGACCCTTCAACAAGTGTCGCATACGTAGAATTCTTGCAAATGTGAGGGCTTCTGGGTCTGGCATCAGACCCCTAATGTAGATCTTGTGTTAATTAACGAGCACTGGATTCACACCAGGCTGTGTAGTAGCTCGTGAGATCAAATTGGCAGACTACATTGGTTTGCACCTGAGAGCCTGAGTGACTTTGCCACGAGTGTTGTTTGTAGCTCTGGAAGCTCTGAAAGGATTCCGGTTTTTCAGCTCCAGATCTATGAAATCAGACACAGCATGAGTGCTTGTTTGAGAGATCGGTCCAGCCGAAGGTGATGGCTTCCAGCGATACTGAGAGGTGACGCAGGGTGTGTAACAGGGTGTGACAGGGAGACTTTCAATTTGTTGAAGCTTTTGGTGTGTTGCTTGATTGCAGGGCCAGCACAGTACCGTTGCGCCGAGCCAGTGGTGTCAAGAGCTTAGGAGCTGGCTGGATCAACAAGTCTGGCTCAATGGCTGAAAGCTGGTTTGCCGCATGGTTGGATTATCAGCTTTACTAGATGTTCTTTGTTCCACAATTTGTTTTTTGATTGTGCGGTAACCAGTAACCTCAAGCTTCTCGGTTGTAAGGCTTGCGAGAACATGTTTTTAGGCCAATGACTTTTCCTTTCACGTGCTGGTTTTGAGCCAAACTCCTGCCAAACTGCTTTGTGCTTGACCATTATTAATGGTCACTGGGGGGATGCCAACAACACGTACACACGCTGTTTGGCCAGATTCTTGAGGTCGCCGGCGAAAAAAAACGAAACAAATCTGCTCAGCCGCCGAACTTTCGGAGGTGTCTTCCAACAGTGCAACTGTATCGGAGGCGCCACATTCTCAGGCGCTGATTGGTCAAAGACGTGGAGTCTCAGTAGCGCTCCTGGGTCCGATTGGTCCTGGCTTGTGTGGACTTTTGGGATGGATTGGGCGAAGTCTTTGTGGATTCGGGGAGTCGTAGCACAAAAAACTCATTTGGCTAGCAGCTTTGACCATAACAGCTTTGGAGAATCATGAATCATTGACATGGAGAACTCGCTAGATTTGAGTTCCATGTGAACATTCCTGCAGGTTTACAGCAGTTAGCTTTTGAGCGTTTCTTTCAGCTCGCTCGGGTCGATGAAGAATGTTGGGTATTTTTTCTGGCTGCCAAATAATCCCTTTTGCCGCAGGCTCTTCGCTACTGCGCGAAACTCGGCTAAGCGTGACATGAGCAGGAGATTTATATAACATGCCTGTCAGTTCTGCATTCTAGCTTCCTGAACGTCAAAAGATAATATTCATCGCCCTTTGCACTTGAAGAGTTGTTCTGTCCAGGGGTTCGAGATGCCCACAAGGCAATTTCGAGGACTTCTTGGAACACCTGGCCATAGACCAGTCCTCTGCCAGACGCCTCCTTAGCTACCTCGCAGCTACAAGGATTTTGTCGCAGACACGGGACACGAGTCCTGACAGAACAGCAAACATGTGCAAAGAACATCAAAGAACTCCTTTGCCATGTCAGGTGCTCTTACCATGGCGGCAGCTCAACATATGTCGCCAGCTTGAAGCATGCGATTAGTGTTGCTGCATGCGGCTGCTGCGAACATGCTGTGTGAAGATGGGCATTGAGATGGGCCTCCACCTGTATCATAGTGCCTTTTTTGTTCACTATAAGAAGGCCATTGGCATCATATGTTTGGCACTCATGTGTGTGCTTGATCTATGATTTCTTACAGGAAAGGACCTCTCGAATCATGAGGGGACACTGGCGATTCACCCTGCAGTCGTGAGTTGTGTACTGTACTGCACTGTTAACGACATGAGGGTCATGAACGTGTTGTTCTTTTTACGCAAGGATTGTTTTTGGGTGGTCAAGTCAACGGATCAGTTTGACCGGGTGACCCAGACTCGAGCAAATGACGCTTGATATAGTGTTGGATCGCCCATGGTCTGTTTGGAGATGGGGCGCCAGGTTTGTGGCGCCACTGCCACCACAATGGTCTGAGCAAGTTGACGAGAGCAGCTCTCGCGCTGGCATCTGAGTTTGGGCATGTAGGCTTGCTTGACTTTGGACTGAAGTTTCGACCGTTTGCGCAACGCTTGGAAACACAAGGTCTACTTTTTCAACCGAGCCACTGGGGAGTCTTTGTGGATGCATCCGCAGAAGTCAATCTTTGAGGTGGAACGCTTTGAGGGACACAGAGTTGCAGCATGAGCACATCAGAGTTGCAGCGATTGCCGAGACTTTTTAAGACTTCTGTGTTTGAAGTGTGAAGATGTGGGAGGAGCTGCTTCAAGAAGTCCATAGCTGGCAACCGGACACGTCCCTTGAGGTGCCCGGTTTCCTGCAGTTTCTATGGTGGCCTGACATGTGTCTTTACAGGAGATTGCTGTGCAAGCAGATGCCCACTTGCGGCAAGCCCAAAGGACCGCTGTCCAGGCAGCGGCAGCACCACTTCTTCCAAGACCCATTGTGCATTCTGCAGATGAGTGAGCAGAATAGACCTATTTTACACATGTTGCTTCCAAGAAATCCAAGAAATGCCTACTGTTATGCACTTAGCTCCACGTGTCGAGTCTTCTCGATCTCAGGCCCTTGCACAATGGAGTGCCTTCGATGCTCCGCAGGCAGCATCAACAGGGTCGATTGCAGCGATGTCCGCGATTCTAAGTTCTTTTTGAAGGCTGCCTTTGCAGCGATGCTCGCAGCATTTGCAGCTGTGGAGATTTGCAGCTTTCTTTCAGCCTTCAACATGTCCGCAGCCTTTTCGGTCCATGCCGGCATGACCTGGCACCGATAAGTTCTACCATCCGTACCCTTTCTACGAAAGAAGCCTCCAAGAAATTCGGCCGATGAAGACGACGGCTATGATCTCCAAGAAACCTTTTGCCACAAAGACAACAGCTGACAAGCTGCGAGCACCTTGGCTTGATTCAAGATCGGGGGTTGCTTTGATTGTCTATTTTGAACCATTTCATTACTGCTTGACTGGCACGTGACATGATCTTTCTTTACTACTTGACTGGCGCTGGTCTCAAAAGCCATTTGCAAGGTGACTAGCTTCCTTGCTGGGGTTACCATCCTGGTTTGTGTGGCTGACTACTTTCTCGCGGAGATGGGAGGGGAGAAGGTGGGCTAATATTGACTTGCAAGTCACAAATCCCACAGATGCCTGAAAGGTTGGGCGAATAGCCTGCGTTATATGACTTTTGTCGATGGCATTTAGACAGTTTGTTGCTGGCAGGCAATCCCGGCAGGTGGCCGTTCCTTTCTCATTGAGACCGCAACCGTGCTAGTTTGTATGCCATCACCTCAAGACCTTGAGACACCTCACTACAAACTCCTTGAGCCGGAACAGCTCAGTCCGAATTGGTATCACTTCAGTCGTTTGGAGCGAGTAGATGCTCACGGAAGTCCCAAGCCTCCATTGCAGCGAAATCGCCAAGGTTGCTGCCAGCTGCTTTCATGCACATGTCCAAGGCCTGTTGTTGTCTGACTGTCTCAGAGAAGGAGACATAGCTGAAGGAGGCCAATTCGAGTCTCATTTCAAGGACTACCAAAACTACTTAGTTTATCAATCAGAAGCCGAAAATTTCGGTCCAGGCAGCCTTCAAGCAGAATGTGAAAGACAGTCCGAAGAATCGGAAGCTGATTCCTGGATGCATGGCGGCAAAGAGATTGAAAGAAAGCACTCAGTTTTGTGTTTTCTATTATTCTTGTGCAACTTGGTGCGGAGTCCTCATCCATGTTCTTTTCGTTTATTTATATATTGCTTTCATCCCGTGCAATCTCGTTGTTAATTCGTATTCTGAGGCGAGGGTCACCCGCCGAAGGCTTCGAAATTGGACAAACAGGCACAGATTATGTGCGACTTTGCTGATGGACACTTGATGACGTTACTGGTGTGACATGGTGCAACGCCATGATCTCTTATGTCATGAGAGATTGCATGTTTAAGCGCTTTCAGTTGTGCCTGGCTTTTGTGACTGAATCTGATGCCATGACATCTCTGTGCTTTGTTGTGAGGTGTCCTGCCAATCTGACTCCACTGAAACCCCTGATTCACCAGAGGGGAAGGAGGCTGGTGGCACTGTTGGGACCTCAGTTGCGGTGCGCTTCATCCTAGGAACAGTCCCAAAAGAGAAACCCGCAGAGTCCTTAAACACAGATTTTGAGATGCTGATAAGAGGGTTAGGATCGGTGACTGTACTTATATAAAAGTCAAAGTATCCGAGTCGAAGTATAATGCACATGTGACATGTGTCATACTTTTTCAACTTGTTTCCTCTTTCAGACTCATGTCCTAAAAGCAAAGTCTCAGGCCAGGAGCATGTCTCAAGCCGTCGCCGCCGCGGTCCGTGCGGGAGAACGGCATCGGGCGGAACGTTTGTTGCATGAAATGATGAAAGCCAAGCACCTTGGGGGTCTGGACACCATGCCCTTCAACTCTGTAGCTCAGACTAACCAGAAGCACTTGAGGCACTTGCGTGGTGGTTTCTTTTTCTCTGTGGGTCAAGAAATAGTAAGTGGGAAGCCACAGTTTTCTTGCAGGTAATGTCTCAGGATTTGTTAGGTGCGTTCATAGCTGTGCTTTCCTGTTGATTTTGAGTGAGTAAGATGTCATGAGTCCTATTTCTCCAGTGTTTGGGGAGAAAGACACTCTACGACCATGTTTGATGCATGATCAAGAGTGAGACTCAGGCTTGAGTGTTATCGCTGCATTATCAGGCTTTATAGGGTTTCGCATTCATTGGCTGATTTGGCTTCGGTGTTGGACAAGTGACAAAGTCGATCTTAGCCTGCACCACTTGAGCATTTCTTACATAGTGACTTGGAGTTTTTTAAATGCTGTGATTAGGTCATCCATGCTTGTGCCAAGACTGGTGATATGCTTGGTGCTCGACGGTGGTTGCGTCACATGCGCAACTCGCCAAACATTCTGGAGCAACTGGGAGTGGAGGAAAAGCTCGAGACACCAATCGAGTTTGCGTGTCCTGTTTGTTCGTATGTGGTTCAGGTTCCGCTGGTGTTGAGCCCAACACCATCAGCTACAACATCCTGATGGACGTATCTCGCCGAGTTTTGCCTGAAAAGGTGGCACTTCAAGATCACCAGATGCATCCCATTCCAAGATACTCATGGGAATTTCCTTCTTCAGCGCTTACCTAAGCAAGCAAAAAGATAAATAGAGAAAAACACGGGGCCAAGGCTTGGCCTCGATGGAAGGGAACCGAGCCGAAGACCAAGGCATCTGCCAAGGCAGACGATGCTGAAGATGCTGAGCATTGGCTTTCAGAGATGATTAAAGATGGAATTCCCGCGAATGAGGCGGGCTCTGGCGTTTTGAGGTCGGTCCACAGGTTGGTCCATAGACCTGCGGCAGAACTCATTTACTCAGTGTGGCCGATGATTGTTTGCTTTGGTTTCTGCTTGCAGCTTGTTGAGCGAGGTTAGCTATGCCACTGTCATCCACGCGCGTGCCAAGCGCGGTGAGACTGAACGTGCTGAGCACTGGCTAGCGAAGATGCTTGAAGCTGGGGTGGAACCCAACATCGCTACTTGGCCAACAAGTCCCTGCAATGTAAGTAAGCTCAGGACACGTGGAGCAAAATACGTGCCAAAAGCAGGTCACCCGTTTCTCAGGGCAAGCTTGCCGAAGGCGAGGAATATGGTGTGGCAAGACAAGGCAACAAGCCAGTTTCGGTCACCTGCTTGCCAGTTTTCATTCCAAGCATGCCGCCGATACATCATGTGTCGAGTGCTTAAGGTCAGCTACAATTCGCTGATCTATGCTTGTGGACGGAAAGGCAGGGGCTGAAACAAGCAGATTGGGTAGATCTTGCAGAAAATGAAACAAGAGAAGTCCCTTTCGTCCAATGGGCTACTAGCGGCTACTAAGAACAAGGACGCTACCCGTTATCCCTGTCCACATGAAACGACGACGGAAACGCCGCCGCCCCAGGCGACGCGGCCTCGGCCGAGAAGTGGCTCCGCGAGGCGGAGGAACGGGGACTCTCGCCGAGGGTCACCACTTACACGGCGGTGGTGGACGCATGCGTCCCTTGGCCGTGCGGTAAACATGGGAATATGAATATGGGAATGCTGGAGGGGGGTGATCTGAGATTGAGTTGAATCGCGTGGGGGCTTTGGTAAGTTATAAGAATTATCGTTCCAGTGAATGATGGGACGGGGACTTGGAGCTTGTGGAGTTCTTGAGTGGATGAAGCTCCCGTTCGCCTTGTCACCCTTAGCTTTTGCACTGATTTGCTTGCCTCAATTGCCCAAAGAGAACACTCCAAAATCACATGAGCAAGGGCCAAAACATTGTTTTTGATCGGGACTGTGCGGAACGATAGGGCCGATAGGGAACCTTGAAAAGCGATACCAGAATGATTATCACGTTTTGACTGCAGCACACATGGTATAGCCATGTCATGGCGCTGTCACAGAGCCGGTGTGAAAGTCTGGACGTGTCTCGCCGTGTCTCCACGTGTCATGGATTTCCCCAGGCAAAGTCGGGCGATGCTAGGAACAAAGGGTACCGCTACTAGGAGCAATGACGCTAACTCCTGGCCTTACTACTAGGAACAAGAAGCTACGAGTAACAAGGGCAATGCTACTAGGAGCGTTCTTGCTACTAGTAACAAGACCTATAATAGTCTCCAGGCGAAGTCGGGCGATGTGGAACGAGCTGAGCTGTGGATGGAAAAGATGAAGGCCCTGGATTGGACGAAACGAAGGCTGACACCGGTTGGACGAGGTCCGCGGATGGGACAACATACATAGATTCATACACAACAACTTCTATATATATATATATACACATGCATACTGTTGGGGCGTGCATCGGATTGGGATGACTTTGGTTTGCTGCCGTCGTGCGCTGGAGCTTCAATAGTGGCACCGGAGCCTAGGTTCCTGGTCTTGCCCTGCGCTGCCGCTGCGTGCTCTGCTTGGGCTGGGTTCTCCTTTTGCATTTGGCCCTCTTCACCTACCACCTCTAGGAAGCTGGGAGTCGATGGTGTTGTTGAACTTCAGCTCAGTGCTCAGCAGTGGTTGCGTGTCAAGCTTGCTTCAAACAATGCATGCAGGTCCATGAGCCATGAGCACCACCTCACTGAAGCTAGCGTGAAGGCACGCCATGCTGTGCAAGGTTTGGCTGGGCTTCGTCGGGGCAGCGCTTTGGCTCAAGCCTGACACTTCATCGACGATATCCTCTACAACGACGCTACGACGAGCTCGAATACCTCTGGCCCTGGCACTTCATCCCATGCGCGCGGGATATAACGACGGTCGCAGCCAGGGCCGAGTGGACAGCCGATCGGATCAGGCACTTCAAGGACGGTGCCGTGTGGTCGAAGCCCCCGGTGCTCGGCTTCATTGGGACTTGTGTGTTGTCTTGTTGTGGCTTGTGCGTCGGCCATCAATGCGGTACGTGCCACCTCCGGACCCATCCAGCACTATCAAAAAATGGAGGCCGCAAGCCAAGACGATGAAGAATCAGGCGTTCTGCCAGCATTTCGGAGCGATGGCAGACTGCATGTTTGGCTGAGGCAGGATGGGACATTGCTATGCCGCTATGCTTCTTGGAGGACCCCGTGTTGAATGGCATGCTGGCACGGAAAGCTGCGAAGGGCCTGACGGCCCGTGTCAAGAGTCAGGCGATTGCGGAGGCTCGACAACAAGCTCAAGCGGCTATGAAGGATGGAACTGTGGAACAAGAAGCTCGTGCCCCGATCGGTCCACGAGGAGGATTGCCCACACTCCGTTCAGATCCATAGTCAAGCTGGCCGCGTTGCTTCACGTCCATTGGAGGACAAAATGAGTGCGCCGCAGATCAAGGAGAAGGTGAAGCCCATAGTCGACCTTTTTTGACATCTTCGTCAACGACACCAGTTCGGACCAGTTCAGCCATCGGTTCCGCCCTCGCCAGTTCGTCCTGCCACCTACAAGGCTCCGCCAGCCGCCCTCACGATGTGTGGATGGCCAGTGCGGGGCCACTGCTTGCAACTTGCGGCGGATCGTCAAATGGCCGCGCTGGAGCAGATGTTGAAGGAAGTGGGCACAGCTCTCGCAAACTTGCAATCCTCAAGCGGGGGCGTGAACGCCTGGCAGACAGAAGGCCTGATGCCTCAGCAGTTCAACTTGGATGGCAACTCCGATGCCAACATGGTCAGCAACTTCGAGGAGCTGACTCCACAGGCCCTAAAATAAGTTCAACAAGACGCGGCTCTTTCCAGGGAGAGCGTCTATCAAGAACTCCTGGAGGCCCACGAAACCACATTTCTGGCCAGCAAGCAGTCTTGGATCCGTGAACGACCCCTGGAAGTTACACCAAGGGTTGGGGCAAGTCTTGCTGATATCCCATGCCTGGAACAAGCGCAAAAGAGAAGTCACCGTCTGCAGAGTATGCCGCAGCCCTACGGCGCGGAGCTCTTGGGGGCCGAGGAGGCCTTTGATAGTGGGCAGCTTGTGAGGGGCGTTGTTGCTTCCTTCAAGGGCGTGCCGATGGAGAATCGGTATGTGGAGAGTGTGATGGACGTGGTCCCCTGCCGTTGTGGACGCGAAGGACTTGTTTGACAAGTGCTCTTCAGATTCCACCATGGCAGCGAGAACAGCTTGGCTTTTGCAGCGTGGACGTCACACTGCACCGACCTGGCACTGCTTTGAAGAACATATGATTGCCAACGGAGGGACAAAAGTCATGGACGTGCACCACTTGAGGACCATCTTGAATCGAGGACGATGGTCCGTGAAGTTCAACGCAAGGGCGAGAAGAGGAAGAATGAGCCACGCCATGAGTTGCCTGGCGAGCCGATGCGTGAGAGCCACCCTGTCTTCCATATCCCCATCAGCTGGGAGACAAACCCGGTTGGCGTTTTGAAGATGATTTGATTGTTCAGGTTGCTCGCAGTGCTCGTCCATTTCGTTCGCCCAAGCCCAGGGTTGATGTAACATATTTTCCACTTCGGAGCACTTTTGGATACTTCGACATGAAGTCAGGCGCTTCTGAGTGGGCCCTAGGAACAACGGCAGCGATCCTGTGCACGGTATTCTTGAAAGAGCCCCATCCTCAATCAAAAGAAGTATCCACTGTCGAACCGTGCATCGGATTGGGATGACCTTTAACCCTTTGTTCTCCCGCTGCCGTCGGGGCCCCAGATCTAGACCCTATACTTCGGCTTTCGCTTTTGGTCCGGAAAAGGCCGCCATTTGGTTTGCTGCCGTCGTGTGCCGGCGCTTCAATACATATGCAGCAATCCACATATATAGATATATACGCACATACACACGTTTATACATCATGCATATATCATCTCCCTTTGCGGCTTGATTCACACTCAAGTGCTTCAAGGATTTTCAAGGAGTGGATGCTCCTTTCGCGTTTTGTCGACTTTTCGTGGACGAGCGTCACAGGTTTGTGTTTCGGGCAGTTCCGAGAAGGGGAGAAGAGAATGAATTCGAACATGTTCGAAAGCAGAGGTTCCAAGATGCACGTTCGCGACTGAACAATTGTTGACTATGTTCGGAGGAAGCCAAAGTAGAGCCCAACGTGGTGAGCTACTCCGCCATGATCGATGCCTGCGCCAAAGCAGGGGATGCGATTCGCGCACAACGCTGGCATCAGCGAATGAGAAATGCTGGAGTGCAGCCGAATGCCCACAGCTTCAGTGCAGTGATCAATGCCTGCGCCAAAAGTGGAAACCTGACAGCAGCCTACGAGGAGTTTGATCGAATGGAGGAAGCAGGAGAGCCCCGACATGACAACTTTTTGGTTTGAACCGATGTACAACTCATGATTTCTTGATTTGTTGCAAGAGTTTTGAAAGGAGGCCACGGTTCTAGTTGCATAGATAAACTTTTTCAACATTTTTCAACCTTGTTTGGACTCGGCCAATCTAATGTTTGCAAGATTTGCACAACACTTGGTAGGAGTGGTTGCTGATGTCGTGGTCTACAGCGGCCTATTGGATGCATGTGCAAAAGCTGGTGACCTGGAACGCGCCAAGGAAGTCTTTGCGAGGCCTCTTGGTCGTGTTTGCTCGATGGATCCAGGAACATGAACCGTCAGCTTTACTCACATACGCAACCTCACAATTCTGGCCAGATATTCACCAGTTTCACAACATGGACCAAGTGCCTTCTTGCAAACTCCATGGTTTGCTCTTGGTGTCTTCAGGATGAAGGCAGCTGGTGTGCAGCCCAACGTCGTGGCGTATGCATCGCTGGCACGGCCCTTTGCTCATCGGGGTGAGTGGCAAGAGGCTGGTGATAAAGAAACCAGGTATGGATGCGTGCCCAGTGTCCGATATGTGACCACTTCACAAAAAGATGTACAAATTCTTGCACTTATGTTGGGATACCGTGGGGGTTTCTTGAGCGCCGAGTCACGAATCATTTTGGTTAAATAGCTCGCCCCCAAAGCAGCATTAGAGATACTGATTCAACGGCGGACTCTTCAGTAGAGTTGTATTGTACAGATGTTTGATGCGAGAACACTTGATGTGCTGGTGATGTTGCTCGGAGGTGGAAAGCTTTGCCACCGATATGCAGCAAGCAGGTCTTGTGATGAATCATGGACTTGTTCAGGGTAGTTCCTTCGTTGGGTGTCCTCGTTTTGCAGCAATTCCTTTTCCAGATTCCCATACGACATAGGGGGCACAGGTGGGTTTTGGGAGGCCCACTCGCTCTGGGATTGCTTGTTTTTTGTTGTTGCTGGGCCTTTCGTTATTGTGATAACACATTCTGGATGAACAGATTTGCTGGTCGAAACAAGGACTAGCGAGATGATACAAATGCTACCACAGGTGCTTTGTCCTTTTGGACACTATTTCTACATCCTCTCTAATATGCCAAAATGATCAGACACTTCCATGCCGAAGCAAAAACAGGTTAGTTTATGTAGTGAAAGAGTAAGTAGTTTGGCAGACTTTGCTTTACCTCTCCCGAAGCATAGTCCAACAGCTAAGTTAGCCAAAGATTTGTCCATCTATCACAACCCTCACAGTCTACTCCTTAGTCAGGATGACATATATACTGTAAATATATCCAAAAAGAATCAAGTTCACCCTGTGTCAAACAGCATAGATGTTGGACTCACTACATGGTCTGATGGCCGGGTGGTTTCGGAACCTTTTTTTGTGTGTTGAAAATGTTGCTTTATTGAAATTACCTTGGGATTAGCTGATTAGCATAATTTTTTTACCACTTGTTTGTAAAACAACTACTTTGGTTACTCATGGTCGCATGCGCTGTGACAATGTTGTGATGTCGATGATCATGTTGTGAGGTCGATTTACCCCAACCCCCCCCCACCCCACCCCATTTTGATCACACAACTAATCGATGACAATGTTGTGACATCGGTAGCCAACAAAAACTTTCTACATCATTGCTCTAAAAACCCTTTAGAAATACCATAGAAAATGCTTATGACTATTTCGACGCTCTCCCCAGCGGCCCTGCGGACACATACATAGTGCTGTAAATACCACACGGAATTGGCACGAAACGTGCTCGAAATGACCCGGCCGTCTACGCCCGGCAGGCCTACATGGGTGTCTATTCAAAATAGGGAGAATGACGAACCAACGGACCCCTTCGCACTTGTGTTCCCAGGAACGAGTACTTCCTCTATGCTTTGCTCTTGGCCTATGCCAGTGCCAAGCCCCGCCAGTCAGAACGGGCAGAGGCCGCCTTCCGCAAGGCCTATGCCAAGGGCATTGAGGCCAACAAACATGTGACTTTGACCTTGGAGACGTACACGAGCCAGGTCAAACAGAGACTTTTTTTCTTTTCCTTTTTTTGGCCCGCCGTGTAGAGGTGAGGTAGGTCAGCTAGGTAGGTAGCTAGCAGATAGAAGCTAGGTATCTAGTAGTTTAAGTAGCTACTGCTTAAGTAGCTACTACTTAGGACGCAGAATAGCTCACGCAACGTCAAGGAGGCTCCCCCTGCTGCCCTAAAGGCGGCGGCGGGGGGGAAGCTTCCTTGAAGAAGCGCTCGCACTAATCATTTGTCGCCTAGTTTTTTTGAACTGTAGCATGTATTGAATTGTTTACAACATCATACCAAATGAAGTGGATGTTATTTTAGGCAAAGCGCCTGGAGAGTCTTGATACAAAATCCATCTGCTGTTGTCACATTATGTCTTGCGCTGCATATCCACAGTATGCATGCTGCACAACTACACTTCTCAAAGACTACAGTTGTTCATACCTTCCTGCTCAAATCTGTGTTGATTTGACAAAGCTTCGAGCGGCCGTGCAGTACTGACTGCTTTCCACCATTTCCCAGGTACTGACTGCTTTGGGCCGTGCAGTTGGGCGTGGTCGAGCAGCGCAGATTGTTCCTTGGTTGCGATACCGCAGAGCTCCTAAGAGTCCTAAAGAAAACTATCAACAGCACGCTAGTTGCATTTAGGAGACCGAAAGAAAAGCATTCTCGATGAGGATCCCGCAACTGTAGATGACACCTTTCAGCAGTGCGTTTCTTCGAAGAGATGCCAAGGGCCTCGGCCCCAGTGCGGACCGTGAGTCAGGCTCGTGATCTGGGCATCAGCTGTGTGGAGTCGCGACGATGAAATCCAGCTGTGCCTTGGGCAAGGTCAGGCGGGGCTGTTCTTTTTCTCCAAACAGTTCACTTGGTCAGGCCGGTCTTGGGGTTCTCTCTTCATAAAAAGGACACTGGCCACATGCTCTGCCCGCGCCCGTGAACCCTTTGTCCGGGTGCTGTCCTCCTGTTGTCCTTCTCTTTTCCTCCTGGTTTCCTCCTTTCCTCTGGCATCGCTGGTGACCTGTTGTCCACCTGCCTTTCCCGGGCCCGGGCCTTGTCCAGGCCTTGTCCGCTGAGCTGCTGCAGTTCCGTGAGCCTTTTCAGGCTGTGTCCGGGTCTGCTTGTCCACGTTGTCGGCCCTTTTATCGCCATGCGAGTTTCCCTTTCTCTACCGGCTTGTCCGGGTATGTTTTCATGTGGCTATGAACGAACAGTGGTGCCAGCGTTTCAAATTTGATATCATCCTCGGATTTTCTCATGTAGTATAACCCTTCGCATTTGCACATGTGATTCGGGAATCAGGAATTATTGTTTACATGCTGTTCCCAAACAGCTGGAGGAATATAATAGCAGACATTTACCATCAACATTGGAATTCAAGGAGTTGACGATGCTGTATATATATATATATATGTATATACACATTTTTTTTCCAACGCAGATGTGAGGAAGCTGGGGTGGACCTATCTCGATACAGAATGATACACATAACGCGTGCCATGAAGGTTTGCATGTTCAACAAAAGGGTTGAAAAAGGACTGCTATTGGAACGCCAACCTCGATTTCAGTTGCAGATAGGAGGCGTCCATGGAGGGTTATGCTGTCCATCGAGGCAAGCGGGCGCCACGCAGCCTTCCACAGTGCAAGTTTCCATATCCAAGCAGCTCGGCTACCAAGTCGCTCCACGATGACGCCAGAAGCAGAAGACATGCAAAAAGCCGTGTGAGTGGTGAGTCGTGAGTGGTGGGGCTGCACGGTGTGACTCTGAAGCTATTGGAAGCGCGACAAGACACGAAGAGATTGAGCTAAAGTTGCGCGGTCCTCCAAGAACCACCCAATCAAGATCTTAACCCAAATCTGGGTGTCCTGGGTGTGTATTGGAACAGGGAGACCTCCCCTGGATCTCTCAGAAGAGGAAACATAAACACCACAACAGCCAAGATGTGTGGGGATGGAACTTGCAAGCAGACGATGTGTTTGAACTGTTCCTATGTTTGCTGGGTGATCTGCAGTGCTTGGCCCAAATTGTACACACAAACAGCTTTATCATCACGCTTGGCTCACAATCAAGCTGTGCTCAGTGTCTTGGATGCACACAAACGATTAAAGATTCACAAAAGCTCAGGCGTATTCTGACATCCCAAGGTTCTTCTGTTGCTGCTTTGTGGCACTCCATTGGCAGCGTGAAACCCAGACATGATTACAGGTACAGTAGTATTTATGAATTATATATGATATGCTACAGCCACGCTTGCCTCTGCGTGTGCATGCAGCTTTTGCCACAGGATTGCTCGAAGTGCACCAAGGTTGAGCCTTTCACCATTTGCTTGTCCTTATTCTGAGAGCGAGGAGTGCGTGCTGCTGCAGCACCACGGGAAGGAGGCTGCTGACCCGATGCTACAAAAGCCTGACGATGGAGCTGAAGCAGTGGATGAAGATGACGAGCCGGGCCGTGGTTGTCCCGTTTTGTCCTGCCGGCTCCGGCGCCGATGTGGGTACTTTAACTGCCACCATGTCTGCGGCTCTCCTTGTTGATGAGGAACATTTTACGAGAGCTTATGATATTGAATACTATGATATTTGAATAGCTCGTGCCACCAACCAGTGGCTCAGCTGGAAGCCCAGAAGCGGCCTTGTGTCCAGCTGGGGTGATGGAATATTGGCAATGGGCAAAAAAGGTGCTTTTCAGCAGATGAGTTAAACAGTTAGTATGCGTCTTGGAACTTTGACTCAAGGTTTCACAACATTGTGCCTCACAGAGCAGCAACCCGAAACAGTTGACAGGATTAGAGCGAACAACCCCCACGTTTTTAGCCTTGCTTCACCTCAAGCCTGCTAGGGTCCTATGGAGGAACATTTTCTTCGGACATTGTCAAATGCAGTTCGGCTGCAGGGACCAGAGGAAGCGCCTGAGTTTGCGGAGAGCTCTCAGTTCTTGAGCCCAGCAAGGTTTGTCTTGTTGGGGGCAAAGGAGGGGATCGATTTGAATCGAAGTTCCAGTCCTTTCCATGGAACACTGAGCAGGTGTCTACTGCTCACACGACTTGAGGTTCTACTTCAATGCCACAACAGGGGAAAGCAGCTGGGCTGACCCGCGACAGTCCGTTGAGTTTGATCTCAGGCAGGGGCCGCGACGGGCGGAGGGTCGGGCAGAGCTTTTCGTTGGGCACAACAGACGGCAGGAGACAAGGTGACACGGGGTGCAAGTACGATATATGTATATATGTATAATATAATATCTAATATCTAATATCTAATATATAATATAAATATATATAATCTGGGGGCCGGCGGCGGGTGCTTCCAGCGACTGCGCTCTCGTTGTGGTGCCGTGCGCATTTTGGTACATGGTGGTCACTTTTCGACCTGCAAGGGAAACCTCATGTTTTGGTGCTCCAAAGCCGACTTTTCGTGACAGGTGCAAGGGATCGGAGCTGTCTTACTTCGAAATGCAGTTTTCGTGGCAGGCGCAGCACTGTGGACATGGTGGTGATGGTCGAGGAGCTCAGATTTCGTGACAGGTGCAGTGAACCGTGACTTTTGGATACAGTATGTGGCTCGTGTGCAGATTTCGTGGCAGGCGCAGCACTCTGTGACCCTCCATGTGCAGATTTCGTGACAGGCGCAGCAGTCTGTGACCCTCGATGTGCAGATGTAGTGGCAGGCACAGCACTTGGTGAACCTCGAAGTGCAGATTTCGTGGCAGGCACAGCGCTTGGTGAACCTCGAAGTGGAGATTTCGTGGCAGGTACAGCACTTGGTGAACCTCGAAGTGTAGATTTCGTGGCAGGCACAGCACTTGGTGAACCTCGATGTGCAGATTTCGTAGCAGGCACAGCACTTTGTGAACCTCGAAGTGCAGATTTCATAGCAGGCACAGCACTTGGTGAACCTCGAACTGCAGATTTCGTGGCAGGTACAGCACTTGGTGAACCTCGAAGTGTAGATTTCGTGGCAGGCGCAGCACTTGGTAAACCTCGATGTGCAGATTTCGTGGCAGGCACAGCACTTGGTGAACCTCGTTGTGCAGATGTCGTAGCAGGCACAGCACTTTGTGAACTTCGAAGTATTTCATAGCAGGCACAGCACTTGGTGAACCTCGAACTGTAGATTTCGTGGCAGGTACACTCTCTCACTCTCCCACTTTCACTCACACACACTCACACTCCCTCACACCCACTCACACTTGCGCTCGCACTCACTCTCCCACTCTCACCCGCGCTCGCGCTCTCACTCACTCACTCACTCACTCACTCACTCACTCACTCACTCACTCACTCACTCACTCACTCACTCACTCACTCACTCACTCACTCACACTCTCACACTCACGCGCGCACTCACTCACCCACACTCACTCTCACTCACGCTCGCACTCACACTCACTCACTCTCGCGCTCTCACTCACACTCACTCTCACCCACACTCACTCACACTCGCGCTCACACTCACTCTCCCACTCTCACTCACACTCACACTCCCTCTCACCCACACTCACTCGCACGCACCTTCACTTCATCACCACCGTCACCTCTCTGGACCCCAATGCGTCTAGATCTCTACACTTTCTGCTTACAGACCTCTCACACACTGTTTGGGGTCTCTTGCCGGGATAATTTTTCAGAAGAAGACAACTTGCGACCCCAACAGCAGGCAGGGCTCGGTTGGAAGGTGTGGGTGATCCTCTTTGGGTCTTTGATGTTTAAGGCTTTGCAGCAGTCTGAATCACGAGCGCGCATTTGTTATTCAGGGAAGCATGTATACAATGTTTTTATAGCGTCAAACTGGCAGATATCATGGAATCCTTGAACACTAGATTTGAGTGAATGATTTTGTCCTGCATGCACGAGGACACCAAGTATCAAGGACACACAGAGGCAAGTATAGACTATAGACACGCAGTTACTCCATGTTGCCCCTGTTTCTTTCTCTTAGTGGCAGGCTCAGACATGGGATCCTCTCTGAATGTATGTCTGCCTTCCGTGTGCCGTGACCTCAAAAGTCTCAGGGTCTTCGTGGCACCACTTTGCCGGTTTCTCAGGCTGGGACTGCCTGATGAGTCCTCCGAAGGAGAAGTCAGCAGCCATGCAGATGGGTGCCATCCTTACTGTAAGCTACTGGACAGACAAAGAGGACACAAGTCTTTCTTTCTTTTTTTCTTTCTTTAAATGAACCTTCTCTTTTGTCAGCTGCACTATCCGAACGTGTGAGGCAAGATTGATGGAGATAATATTGAGATTGCTTCTTGTTTGGATCAACCCTTTGCGAGTGAGGATTGCGTTCTATTTGTGTTTGCTTACATCAGTTCCGGCTCATCGGGTGGCCAAGGCGAGACTTGCCATCACTGCCTCAGGCGAGGAGTCCGACAAATGCCGTTGGTGTTTGGGGTTGAAGGTCAAGAGGCTCGATCTATCCAGTTGCCCGAAAAGTGGGTTGATCGAGGCCTTGGAATTCCATGTTTCGACACTGAGCAACACAGGTGACGATTCGAGCTTTTCCCGTCGCCTCCTGTTTGTACAAAGACCTCATGACACCCACATTCCAAAACTTCATTCAAGCTCTACAGGTGAAGTGCCCCCAGGCATCTAGGAACCAAATGAATAGTGTGAGGGCTCTTCAAGGGTAACTACCCCTTCCTTGAAGCCTCCGCTTTCGATGCGTCCTGGGTAGTAGCTTCCTACGGGCTTAGGCCGCTTAGGCCACTTACCGGTTGCGAATTCCAGCCTACCCTGCCGGCCTGAGCTCGCTCCTCTTCAGTCCTTTGGCGAGAACCTGGGGGAGCTCCTTGGATCCCTCACGCTGCCCTTGCGGCATGTGGCACCGGCACCCAGTGAACGAAGAGGATCGGTTTGGCACCGTGCTCAAAACGGCAGTCGCGGAACCTGAAAGCGCCACGAGTTTGGAATCGTGCCGAACACATCCCTAGTGCCCTAGGCTTGCCCTCCCCACCTGACATCCCTAAAAAGGTCAAAAGGGTCTCGAGCCCTTTCCTGACCAAGGAGCGTTTGGAGGTGCCGAAGGCTGCAGGCCCGGTGGTGAGGCCCAACCTCTCAGCAGGCGGATGCTCCGCGGATGCTCCACGTGCTTCGCTTCCCCGCTGAAGTTCAGAAGCGCTGCGAACGGAGCGATCGGACGCTACTAGGGGCTGGCCTTACGAACGTAACAAGAACGCTACGAACGTAACGAAGGGCATCGCTACTCGTAACAACAAAGCTACTAGGAGCACAGGGCATCGCTACTAGGAGCAAGGACGCTACTAGTTGGAAGAATTGGGCCGCACGTGTTGGATCTGGACCAGTGGGCGAAGGTTTGGAAATGTCTGGAACCAATCAGGAACGAGTCCACAGATATCCTTACCATGCTATGCTTTTGAAATGAAGAAGGCGGATTTTGGCCTGCTCGGTTCCGCGTCGCTTGCCTGACTGAGAGGTAAAGTACGAATCATTCTCTCTTTTCATGCGTGGCCCCATCCGAGCTTGCGCTGGTGAATCATGCCTTGAAACAAATGCCTCCAATAGCGAAGGCCTTGAAATTGCAACATGTTGGAAGTGGTGAAGTTTCGACAACACAGCCAATCACACGATAGCTTCGTAAAACTGTAGGTGCTTGATGCTAGAAACCGATGCTTTTCGATCCACGGCCGTGAGTTGCGGTGCGCAGGAGACGAAACGGTGCGCACGGAGATGCCGGCGACTTGGGGGGGACGTGCCAAACAAGGACGGATGTGAAGCGCTTCTACAGCGCAGACATGCGCAGACAAAGGCTGAACCTTTTCCAAAATCTGGATTTGGACAGAGAGGTCTTTTGTGGGCAGAGATGTATCTTTTAGACACCTGGCAGTTTGCCTCGGTGTCTCTTTGAACTTGCCGTGTCTTCAGTTCGACGTTCTTCTGTAGAGGTGTCGGTCAGGCCATGTCTTACTTGGATGTTTTGGGTTTCCAAAGCTTGCATGCACTGGCACTTGGCTGCCCGCCACTTGTAACATCTACCAACCCGCATCCACCTCAAATCATTTCGAGCAACGGCTTCGCAGCGCAGCTCAAGCCAATCGACAGCGTGTCTTCAGCACCCAAGTAGGGAGGACGTCGACGGAGCTTAGACTCTCCCGCTGAGGTCATATCTGACAGCCCGCTCTACTGTCACCGAGGACAGTTGACTTTAGAGAACTGTAGAGTGAAATGCTGTGAATGGAAATCCAGACATCCATTGCTTTTCCTTTGCTGTATTCTGTTGACTACTGAAGGGTAATGTAGTAATGGACATTAATTGCTGGTCAACGGACATTTCTGGTGGGGGATTGGTATTGAGGAATACATTTTCGGTTGCCACAGAACTGCATGGTTCATGTAGTGTACTGTGAGAAGCATGTCTACCGTGCCAGGACCGTGCAGATGCCGTGCCGTCAAGGTTGGAGTCAAGTCATGTCAAGATCATGGCCTTGCATCGCATCGCGTAAAGTGTTTCGCAGTGCCCTCCATCATACTGCAACTGGTTCTGCATATTGCTCTTCCGTTCGAAGAGAAGTCCTCCTCGCTAGCTGCTGTGGCTGGGATTTTGTGGCTGCCAGGTGAGGCCAATGATGTCATTGACTGCGAGAGGGAAAAGCGTGTCAGATGGAGAGATGATGGAAGGATAGCCAGATGCTGCTTTGTGAGAACGCTTGTCTGATGTCTTTGCCGAGCTGGGACGTCTTGTCTTGTCGGAATCGAATGGAAGTCAATACCGACAAGAGGTGGTGGAGATAGCTTGAAGACCGTGGAGCAGAGCCAAGAGGTCAGATGGGGTTGTTCTGCGCAGGAGATGAGCGCTTGAGCTTGACAAAGTAAAAACCTTCACAAACTTGAGCTTGCATTCATCGTGCCCGAGAGCTAGAGACTCTTGGTGTGCTGGAGTTTTTTTTGTTGAGCTGCGGTGACTTTCTTCACTGTTTTGGAGACTAAGCTATAAGTTCTGCCATCGATGAGTGAAGGCATTCGTTGTAGATTGCTTTGTGAAATGTGCACATGTTCAATCCATGATGCTGCCTTTTGTAGTTTCAAAGATCTGAAACACAGCAGAACCAAGAGACTTTCACCACGCTGATGGGAAAAACGTCAACCTCCAAGCATACTCAGACTCACCAATGTCTGGTGTGAAACGAGCAGCATTGGGACATTGCCCATTGTTTCGCTGTTTGCCCAAACCTTGCCGCTGTACCGTTTGCTACGCCATGGCCAGCCCTTCACGATCCAAAGAGGTGTTGATCTCAAGCGGAACAAGATTGGAGGCCTAAAGGCTTTGAGAACACCCGTGGTGATCCAACTGGACTAAGTCTCATAGTTTACGTGAGATTCTCGACATTGATATGGTTGCTATTGCTGCTCACAAGGCCTCACAAGGCCATGCGCTTGCGCAGCGCACAAGCGCGCATTGCGTGCATCGACGAACCTCTCACGACTGGGCCTGTGGGCCGAGGTAGTGATCAATGCTCTTGGCAATGGGCAGGTTTGGGTGGAAGCCTGGCACTGAAATCGCAGGGCACTTTCTGTACAGGTAGTCGTTGACTGCCTCACAGCGCACGAATCGTGGACATTCATTGGAGAAAGAGAGCTTGTAGATGTCCTTGGTTGCAACACTGACCTTTGACAGCGAAGGCTGATGTGAGACAAATATGCCTCAGTATTCATATGTATTAATCCTTTTCATATCCGATCCTTTCATGCTTAATTTGTTTTGTTGACAGTGGCTTTGTTCTCGTCCCCAAGGATCTTGGCTGGCAATCCCCAACCGGCCTCACACCGCCCAGAAAAGCTGCAGGCCAGAGGTGTCGCAGGGAAGTTTGGCATCGATTGTGACTTTGCCCCAAACTGGCCTTTCAATCTGCATGTATTTGGATCAAATCTAGCTGAATGCGGATCTTGATCGCAGACCTAGGTCTCATGAGCTTTGCAAGTCTACTGTTCTTCCCAGGTGCCAAGAGCTTGCCACCAGCGCCACCCTTGCCTGGATCGAATGAAGGTGGGCTGCCTCCAAGAGGTTCAAGAGGATTTGCATAATTCTTCTTGGCCTGCTGGACTTTCTGACAACTGTTGTTGGCTTTTTAGGAAAGAAAGCTTCGCACCATCCAAGGAAAAAACATGAAAGAAAGCCTTTGCCAGCAGGTCTGGAAGGCAAGCGGTGTGCAGGTGCTGGCCGAGTGCCACGCGCAGGGCGAAAAGTGCAGGGCTGAGGGGTTGAGTCCAGGCAGATGACAAAAGGGTTCTGCAGAGGCAGCCATGATTGGTCTCAAATTCCAGAAGCTGAGATGAAAGAGCTTCTCTTCATCTACCCGTCCAAACCGAACTGTTTTTCCACGTTTTTCTTGTCTTAAGTTCCGGTGGAAAGCGCCCCGAACTGATCGCCTTTCAAACGGAACTTGTCCGACTTCTCCTCCCAAATGTCCAAGTTTGAAGGAACAAAAACACATCCGAACTGACCACCTTGGCACTACCTTGGCACTTGGCTCTTTGTCCCAGGGCGACCAGCTTTCAGAGCTTCGAGATGCCCTCGCCCAGTTTCGATTGCAGGGACGCCGGGGAGCCTTGAGCGACGGGGCTTCGAGACGCTTTATAAGCGACACGGCGGAAGGTGTCCAGTGGGGTTTCAGGATGGCCTCTTCCTGGTAAGGGTTGGTATTCTGGTCGGCAGCAGGGAATGTTTCCAGATCCTCCCTGGGTCCCAGACCGGTTGGATCTCCGAGATTTGCACAAGCCCCAGTTAAGGTGCTGCACTCTCGGCTCTCCAGAGTGACCTTGACAAGTTACTGGACGAGCAGAGCCAGTCTTTTCTTCTGGCCAACGATCTGAAACGTCGCTTGTCGTGACCGACAGACCGTTGGTCCGATTCCTGCTGCATCTCAACAGATTCCCCAAAAAGGTATAGTTGAGCGGTGCAATCGCTTCTGGTTCGCGTGATCATGCTTTGGCGCGCTTAGGGCTTAGGGTTGCAGAAGACAGGAAGTTGTTCAAACAAAGTGTTGGAGTCCTGGCCTTGTTGCTTGGGGCACTTTGCAACAAGATGCTCCGTTGAACTGCATTCATATCTCAGAACCTTGGAGATGCAAGTTTGACCATTTGACCCTTTGGTTCTCCTGTGCCAAACTTCATCTATGTAACTATTGTTCTTGTCTCGCTAAGTTTTGTGAGGTCCAACGTTTGATCGCACTAGATTGCTCAAGCAGGGAACACATGATTCAAATGGATTCAATTGGATTCAAATGGTAGAAATGGATTTGCAAAGGATGTCAAATTCCAGTTAAGTTGCGGGTCATATTCCATTCTGCACAGCAACTACACAGCATGTATATCACTGTATATCTGCCATTCTGAACCATTCTTGGACAGGTCCTCTGAGTTAGAGAAGCATCCATCTGAATTTGTGAGCTTTGATTTGTGTGCTTTCAGTACAGTACAGCAAGGAAGCAGTGCTTTTGTTCAGAACAGTCACTTCCTTTGGCCTTTGTACAGAATGTCATTCCAATGAGCACTTGATGGGAGGGAAGGCACCAATGCTGTGCCACGCTTTGTGGAAGACTTAGAACTTCAGTCGCACCTGGATAAGAGCGATGGCCTCGAACCTAACTTGAAAAACTGGAACCAGGATGTGACACGGCTTGAGGCTTGAGAGCGCCATTTCCAACGGACTTGAACTTCATGCCCCCAAGGCTTGTCCTTCTATTACGACATGGCTTTGCACTGACCGACGAGGAGAAAAGAACTAGAGCTGTCAGAAGGTGGTGCCTTGTATTTGTCCTTCTTGGGGGAAGGATATGGAAGGATCAGGTCCATCCAGCCTGCAACAACTGAAGACACATCCACCTTTACATACGTTCACCCTCATTGACCTGCAGTTTTTGGTGCTTTTTGCTGTGAGCCACCCCCAACCGGGCGCCACAGGAAAAGTCCGACTTGGTGCTGCAACAGTCCATCGAAGCTGCTTCCATCGTCAGAGTCGTTGGGGATGAAACCCAGACATGTTGAAAGGATTGAAGACGGCAGATTTCTGACTGTGGTGAGATCAATGAGTCAATGAGTAACATGTGATTCGAGAAGCAATCAATATCCGTTTTAGGCATATAGCGTATACCTATTGGTTTTCTTTGCAAGTATGAGTCCGAGAGGAGCTTGACTATTGACCTTAGTCAGTGTACACTTCTGCTTCACATCACATGTAGTTTGCCAAGACTAACCTGCCTACAGCAGTGCATTCCAGTATTCAGTCTTTACCTTATGCTCACCATTCTTGTCTTGAAACAAAACACACTAATTCCATGCTGCCAGTTCAACAACAATGCGACGTGCAAGTGGCCAGATTGCGCTCCGGTCTGCGAGGCATGAGTTACAGTGCGTATTGAGCATGGACAGGAAATCCCAGTCTTAGTGACCCTGTGGTTTGTCCGCAGGAGTCAGATAAGGAGAGTTTACCTTTCTCAACATCAGAATCGATTCCCAGGTTGTGCTTTCAGAACGGCTTTCTCTGCGTTGTTGGGCGGGTCAGGCATGCGACACGAAGGCCATGGGCTCCTGCATGGTGCCGGGAGTCAACGAGTGCCCGTCCTGGTCTCAGGAGGTGGCCGCACGTGTCGAAACGACGCGAAAAGCGGCGAAACGAAGCCCCCAAGGTGGAACGCCAAGTGTACCTTGGGCACTTGCTTTTGCAGCAAAGGCTACTGCGGGCAAGGGTTTGGCGCTGAGTGGATTGGAATCTTTTTTGGAATGACACGCTGAAAGTGCTTCGCCTTTGAGCAATTGTTCTTGTTGGTAGCTACTTAGGTTGAGCAAAGAGCACAGAGTTCATTTGGCTTTTTTTCTACAGTAAAAGTTTTTTTTCACAGGTCCATGTGCAAGTTCCGGACCTGTGCCCTGGGTGGGCAGCCTGAGCCCTATGTGGCCGGCAACCTGGTGAGCTCCTCAGTTTCGGCCGCGGGCGAAACCAACTGATAGGAAGTAAAAACAGCCGAAATCAGGCAGCTGCTGAAGTGGGCAGATGAAGGGGGTTTGATAAAGTAGGTGCTGCTTCTAACGGGTTCCAAGCAGTACAAATTCAGCCACAAACCCAGAGGAGCATGGCTTCATGCTTTTTTGTCCGCTCACATGTGTTCTGTGTTCTCCTCTTTATGGTGACTTCCTGTAGTGATCTGCCTGGATAGACTGGAGTACCTTTCCGGTCCATTTTGCGGTTGGTCAATCGCATGCGGAGTGACTGCGATTCATGTCCGCCAGGTCCATCAATTTGCCAGCTTGGGAGGTGAGCTGCCTCCCTTCAATGCACGGCATCCGAGGGTGGCAGGGAGTACTGTGATTTCACTGTACGGCGCTGTTTGGATCGGCTGGAGGGTTGAGCTTATTTGTTAACCAGCGCTTTGTCCACAGGACTGAATCCATGCATCACGAAAGCTACTGAAAAAATGGGCTAAACACTGCAACACATGGAGTGACGCTTTGAGTCGCAGCCGAAGCCTTTTTACCGATAGAGCAGTGCCACATGATGGGGTTTCAACTATATATATAGAGATCAGTTTTGTCATTGCTGCAAAAGATGGAGGATCAGTTCCTTTCCTTTTGCATGTGACTCTGACGCATTGGCTGTATCAGCTTGTTCTTTGAGGCCCAAGAGGACGATTGGATGGGCTATGTGGATGACTGCAAGAAGATGAGCGGCTGGCAAGTTTTCTTTCGTCCAACTTTGGAAAGATGCGGGTCTAATTCGGCATAGGTATCAAACAAACAATAAAAAGAGGATCAACATAAAAACAAAAAGCGAATAAAAAAACACATATTCCTTGATAGGCCTCTTCTGCTGCTCTCCTGGCCCTGTGGTCTCTGGTAATAAGGTCCCTTGGTCCTTTGGTCCTCTGGTCCACTGGTCCTTTGGTCCTCTGGTCCACTGGTCCTTTGGTCCCCTGGTCCCTTGGTCCTTTGGTCCGACGCACCGGAATAGGACCTACTTGCGAAATTTTTTTCGTTGGCCACTAAGAAGCCACTGGTCCCCCAGTCCTCCGGTCTCCTGGTCCTCTGGTCCTGTGGTCCGCTGGTCCCCTCTGGTATCCTGGTCCTTCTGTCTCCTGGTCCGCTGGTCTCTTGCTCTCCTACTCCGCTCGTCTTTCGGTCTCCTGGTCCCCTGCTTGCGCAAATAAAGGCTTGATTGCTTTCTACTAGAGGCAGCTCCCTGGGAGGAAAGTAGGTACCCAATGATGGTAGCCGTCCAGTCATTGAGTAGCCCTACTCGAAAAATGGTTCACCAGTAGAAATAGCTCCCTACTAGGAAGGAGCTCCTAGGGAGGTACACTCTCCTAGTCACCTACTCCTTCCATCCTCTTCCCTTGGTCTCCTAATCCTGCTACTGCTACTGCCACTGCTACTACTACTAGCCCAACCATCCTCAGTGGGCTAGAATATTTTTTTTGACTCCCTTTTTACTTTTTTAATTGATCCCCGTTGAATATTTTTTTGCTTATATTGTTTTTTTTGACCCCTGACCCGTCTAATTCTGTTTGCAAGGAACAGCACTTCCGATTGTCAGATTATGAGACATCTAGCATTTGAAGTTTTCTTTGCTGCTAATTACTGATATTGTTCTGATACTAAGATTATGAAATCCATTAAAGGATCCTCAAGATCAAGCAAGGGCAAAGTTAATGGATGCTGCTCAAGCGTCAGTGATGCCCTCCTACAACTCCTCACCCGAATGGCTATAAGGCTATAGTTTTGGCCAACTTCAACAATGTGTGCATCACCTCTGTTGCATCTAAGTTTCCCTAAAAATCTAGGAACCAAATCATTAGTGCGAGCGTGATCAATCATGCGTCTATACTAGTAGCTACTTAAGCTACTGCTTCTACAAGCTAGCTACCTGGTTACCTCTTCTCGGCTTAACCCCCGGGCTGAAAACAGGAAGTGCAGTATCCGATGTGGTTTGCTTATGAAAGAAGCGCCATGAGTCAGCAATGCCAGTCCTTTGATCGTCCTGGCCTTTGGCGTCGTCTTAGTACCTCCGCTTTAACTTGAAATGTTAGTACACTTCGTTGCAGTGACGAGGGCACCGGTTTTTGAACTCAGGCCATCATGACCTGTACCTGCATTCTCTGCCAGCTAGAGTGCGAGTCTGGGCTGCAGAAGGTTGTTTGAAGCCGATTCAAAGAAGGACTGGCAAGGGACCAGGGACAAAACACCCAGGAGACCGAACGGTTTCGGTTTCCCTGCAAAACATCCACACTTTGTTCAGACAGACAGACAGTCAATCGTCAGGGCTTCATTGGAATTGTTTTGGAATTGATTCATTTGGAATTTGGAAGATGTTTCAAGACGATTCGTGTATACAGGCAGCACAATGCTTTGTGATTGTGCCATGTGCAAGCAGTCGCGGTTTTGGTGCGATACTCCTGGAAGATAGTGGACGGCGCTTAGAATATGAAGATGTTCCATTTGTTATTCTGCGAAGATCCGTGGGGGTGATCAATTGTATAACCACTCCAGCCAACCGATGAGAGAGTGGGGAATGCCCCGGTTCCGGTCAACAAGGACCTGAATGAACATGCGCATTCCCTGGGAATAGACCAGTCATTTGAGTGTATGCCCTTCTTTTTTCTTTTTCGACACTTCCACATCACAAATCAAGAGCCTCACAGTTCTCCACTAAACGCATGTCTTCTTGGTTTGTGTCGGTGGCTCTACTCACAAATCCCTTGAGATTGACCGGTGAAATAACGAGTCATGGAGGTGTTGAGAACATCCTTTGGAGGTTGACAGATGGAAGGGCGTATGGCTATGTGTGAAAAGGTTAGGGTTAGGGTCGGCATTTAACGCCGAAGTGGCCCAATCCCCCATCTTAGTTCCCGTTGAGATTTATCGCAGGAAGAGTGACATGCATATCACTACTTAAACACAAAGGAAGTTTGTCCTCAACAGACGACTTCCTCATGATTTGGCCGGAACTACAATCGCTATTGGGTTGGAGGCCATTCCAATGAGGTGGGAGGCCATCGCTATGTGGCCGGAACTACCTTCGATCGAAATTCGCCCGCCGTCCGCAGCGCAGCTGGCGGAGCCTGGCCGACATCCCTTCGGCCGAGCACCTTTGCCAGCCCAGGAGTTCAGTTGGATCCCTACGCTCGGGAACTCAGTACACAAAAGCTGTAGTAGCTTATTTCAAGGCTTACGCCTAACAGCCGGGCGCCGGCCCACTTGGGTGTGTGGGGCGTATGTCACGCCTATGTTGGCCTTGGTGGGGCCTATATTGAGCAAAGTTAAGCTATCTGGTGCGCATCTTGGCCCTAGGTTGGGCCAAGTGGGGCCCATGTGGTGTATGTTGGGCACATCGTGGGCCCATGTTGAGCCTATGTTGGGCCTATGTTGGCCTATGTTAGGCCTATGTTGGCCTATGTTGGCCTGGGTTGGGCCTATGTTGGGCCTATGTTGGCGTCTGTTGGCCCCAAGTTGGCCTATGTTGGCCCTATGTTGAGCCATCTTGGAGGCTATGTTGGGCATATGTTGGGGATATGTTGGCTATCTTGGGCCTATGTTGGGGGTATGTTAGGCGATTTATGTTGATCTTGGGTTCCGATACAACGTTTTACGATTTTTTCCTTCCCGCAAAGCAAAAACACTGTAAAAGCCTGCCTTTTTCGACATCACCGAGCTGAAATTCTCGGCTGCCGAGGGGCCCGAAACCCTGTAAAACACAGTGTTTTTATACCTCACACACACGATACACTGTAAATTACAGGGGCTTCAGTGACCCGGTGGTCCCCCCGTTTTGATGACGAGGGTCGGCGGCAGGGGGCGCGCCCGTCTATAACCTTCGGTTACCACCGAAGGCCCTCCGGGCATGCCACGGGCGTCCTGGCCGGCGCCCGGACTGTAAGGGCTTCGCCCGGGTGCCGCCGACCCCTTTTCAAGAGGAGTGTAGCATGTGTAACTGAAGGCGTTAGTGTCGTTCCGGTGGTTGCCCGTCTGCGGAAAGAAGATGGGTGTTCTAGCCTTAGGCGTGGCCTCGGACAGGCTAACTGTGGCCTGTGCTAAAGCCCACAAAGGTGGAGATGCCAATGCCAATAAGGTTGCACTCTGCGAGGCGCCGAGAAGCGTCTGAGGGGGGCCGTCGCCTTCGGAAGCCTAGAAAAGAAGAGGCTGGCCTCGGCTGCTAGCACCGTACGTGGCAGCCCAGGCCATGCCAAGGCTGCGTGGCCTGCTGTGGCCTGTACTAAAGCCCACAAAGGTGGAGATGCCAATGCCAAGGTTGCACCCTGCGAGGCGCCGAGAAACGTTTGAGGGGGGCCGTCGCTTCGGAAGCCTAGAAAAGAAGAGGGTGGCCTCGGCGGTTAGCATCGTATGTGGCAGTTCAGGCCATGCCAAGGCTGCGTGGCCTCGGACAGGCTAGCTGTGGCCTGCGCTAAAGCCCACAAAGGTATACACCAACAACAGCAATCACAGCAGCACTAAGAAGAAGACCCAGAAGCATCACAAGATCAGAAAAACCACTAGCAACAGGCAGCAAGAAGCATAGTAGCAATGCCTCTGTTCTGGCTGTGCTAATAGACTGGCGGCTGTTTGCGGGGGCCTTGTTGGACAGCCCAGGTGCTGAGCCAGCAAGGCTTGTGCTGCGGCGGTCCAAAATGCCTCACGTCGCCTTGGGAAGCCCATAAGAAGAGAGGAGGCAGGCTTCGGACAGGCCACAGAGAGGCCGCAACAGGCCTGCCAGCTGCCGAGGAGCGTTTGAAGGCGGTCCAAAATGCCTAACGTCGCCTTCGGAAGCCCATAAGAAGAGAGGAGGCAGGCTTCGGACAGGCCACAGAGAGGCCGCAACAGGCCTGCCAGCTGCCGAGAGAGGAGGCAGGCCTTGGACAGGCCACAGAGAGGCCGCAGCAGGCCTGCCAGCTGGCGAGGCCTCGGACAGGCCTTTGGAAGTGCTTGGAAGGGTTCTGCTAGGCTTGGCCAACTGCTTCACCCTGCGGTGTCCCAGGCGCCTCCCCGCCTAGGCTTTGGCTATAGGCCGGGGTCGGCGGACATGTTTTGGAGCCGGGCAAAACAGTCGTTACATGCAGGCACACGGTACGAACATGTACAAACTACAAACCAGTCAACGTGCAGTTGGGTCGTGAAGCTTGTGTGTGGTTGGAGCTGCTCTGAGATCGCCAGTGGTGCTTTTGGTGCTGTGTGCAGCAACAGTTTGCAACTCAGCCTGCTAGAACTGAAGACGTTCGGTCGGCTGTCTTCTTTGGCTTTGCTTGGGTATGTTGAGGTCGCCGTGATTGCATTTGGCGTTACCAGTCGTTGGGGTCCTCAGATGCAGGAGTTCGTTCAGGCGGAGAAGCAAAGATTAGCTCAAGTCTCGACAGTGCAGACAGTTGGGTGCGAGTTTGAACCAGGTTTTACTGTAGTGAACATCGAGTGAACAGCTTGGTTTTTCACCGTTCCAACGCCCCTTTTGGCTTCTTCCCGAGCTGCATAAAGTCTCAGTCTCAGAATACTTGTGCAACTCCAAATCCAAGATTGAACGACTGACAAATTCTCAGCTGTGAACGGCAGGGTCCAAACACGAAGATCAGGTGCCGTTCAGTCTTGTTTTACTTGGTTTGCTGAGCCGCCGAATTCAATCAGGAAAGTCCGGACTAGTCGTGGGGCCATTCAGATTTGTTCGTTTGAATCGTGCATTTTCACTTATTCAGACACTTTCACCTGAAGAAACCGCAACAACACCAGTGACTTTTCTAGAAAAGCCATGGCGAGCTCGGGATGCCCACTGCGCGGGAACAAGACAGAGAGCCGTGGGGTGACCCAGGTCTTTTCGTTTCATCGGTGCGGGCCTAGCACCAGAGTTGGGTCTTTTTGACACTTTTCGTGGTGTTCGTCTGTGATTCTTTTTAAATACAGCTGTCTCAGAATGGGTTCTTTTTTGCAGTGCGATGGAATTTGTCCATCCCATGCACATCCACATTTGTCTTGAACATTGCTACTCCTCAGGTCCCCTGCGGTCTGAAAATGGTGAGGTGCGCGAAAGTTTAGATGATTTCTGATGTCTTTGCGTGCACCTTTCAGACCTGGACACCACCCTGAGGTGTTAAACCCTCGCAATATGATGCCTGAGATGCCACAGACACCTGCGGCGTCTCAAAGCATTGACTTAAAGAAAGACCGTTTCTTGGCTTTTCAATGTGCGAAGGCCATCGGCCATCGTATCGTGTGACGGAGTCGAGCAGTCTTTGTTCAAGTAAAAAGAGGCCTGACTCGTTGCACGAAAACCCATTGCCCCAGTTCTTCTCTACCCAAGAGCGCGGGGGAGATGTCGGAGATGTTTTTTTTTTTCCAAAACCGTGGAGCACCGGTGGCCAAACGTCGCTGGTGAAGACTTCGATCCTGCACCTGGCGACTTCGATCCCTGCGCTGAGGCGAAGTATCTTCGATCCCAAAGACCGGGGAGTCTGGCAACTGGGTGTATCCTTCACCTCAGCAGCTGCCTGGCGGAGTCTCTAAGTTTGGTGGCGGCATCTCCTATAGCTGGCTGCGGCTGCATGCGTACATCCGACCGGATCAAACTGAGGTTCTATCATGCCCTCCTTCGAAAGAACAAAGAGGCAGAGGCTGAGGTGGGTCTCAAGTAACATCAATTGGGCAGGAGAGGGTGTCAGCCCCCCCCAAAAAACTGCTCGGCTTTGCGCATTGGAGGCCCCAAGGGTCTGTTTGAGTGTTCACAAGGTCTGTTTTGTCAGATCACCAGGCCATGGATGACGTGGTTTACGCCCACAACGTGACCAACGAGCGGTCTTGGAAAGCGATCTTGGACTGGGAGAAGCTTCACGCCAAGTCTTGCCCGCCGCCGGGCGAAAGACTGTTTGCGCGTTTTTTCCGTTGGTTTTTGGGACCGCCCGGCCACAAATAAATTGGCCTCCAAGTGAGACTAGAAAAACGAACGGGCCGACATCAAGAGTGGGCAATCGGTTTTTGACACCAAGAGTGGCCCTCAGCCTTTCCCGACTCTTGTTGGCCCAACAGGTCGCAGAAAAAAAGGATCGGACGTCAAAGAAACAGGACGTCTTACAGGAGTTGATGACTGCCAGTGGTTCAGGGTTCACCTCTTCACCACCTGGTGATGTCCCACACCTTTGGCCAGTCGGCATGGAACCTGCATGAGGACTCCCAGCTTGCTTCGCTTCGTGGGGCGGCAAAAAGATCTCAGCTGGGGTGGCTGGTGGTCCAAGACGCTCTCCTACAGAGGTGTGCCCTTTGACCGGCACGACTGGTTTGTGGAGACTTGGCAGGTTTGTGCCCTCAAGTGTGTATCATGACTAGTTTTGAGTGCTTTTTCATCAAGACACCTGCTGAGTCACTTTAAAGCCCCATGTTACCTAATACAGGCCATTGCGGACAGATAAACTAGGGTGTGGTCACACTTGTCATCTCTTGACGATCGGTGATCGGCAATCAGGACCGCTGTGGAGAACGTACGGTGCGCTATGTGCTCGACTACTATGATGACTCAAAAGCAGGCTAAACGGCAAAGCACAAGAATGGTTTGATGTGCTTTTGAATAAGCTAGAGGCAGGTACCAAAAGAGCCAGATGAATATGTAGCCTTTAATGAACGAACTGGATTCTTTCATTCTGGTTCAGCGTTGTGCTTGGAGATTCGTTACGATTTCGAGCTGACCAGAGAAGTTGATTTGCAACACCCGTTTGTCATGAAAAGATCCCAAACCATGCACACCAATGGTCAACTTGAGAATGTCTTCTAGCGGACTCCAAGGAACCAGTGTCAACTACTTTATTTAGATTTTCATGTTACATGAGTTCTTGAGTTTTTTTTTTCTCTGGATGAAGAGCACGGCAAGAAGTCAGGTGATGCCGAGGATTTGCAGATCACAGTGGAGGCCAGGCCAGCGATCGACAGCGCAGGCTGGGTGACACTTCATTTGTGCATTTGCCGATGATTTCAGTTTCACTCAAGCATCACCTTTACCATTCAGAGGTACTTTTCATTCACAGGGATTTTGGTGTATACTTGGAATTATCTCGTCCCGTTCTTCATCTGTGTGTCCAGGTGACCTCCTCGACAGACTGAGAAGACCAGGATGGCAGCTACGACGCATGTACCTTGGCTGCACGACTCAGATGCAAGTTTGATTTGGGGATGACGAACTTCTGGACACATGTCAGTTTTTACATGCAATACGGACATGCGATGAATACACCCAAGCCAGGCATAATATCCTTTGCTCATATACTGCTCATACACATCTCATATCTATATTGCCCTGATTGGCCTCAGAACAGTTTTCAATTGGAAACCTTTTTTATGCCCCACTTCCCGTGTCCCATGTACCATCCGTCAAAGAGAATGAATGTAGGTGGGCTGCTTTCTTTGGCGGTGGCCACTCAGCAGAATTTTGTGTCAAGCTGAAGCAGTACTGAAGACGCTTGCCGTTGGTGCACTCAGGAGGCAGAGGTCAGTGACACGTTCACATCAAAGCTCTGGAATAATGTGCTTTGGCGCCTTTAAAACTTTCTCGGATTGTTGCTGCAGAACGGTCTGGATTGATTCTCAGTGGCTTTGCCGCTTGAATCCCTTGTGGAAACTGCAATGATTCATTACAATTGGCAGGGTATATACCTTCGCGTAGCAAAATTCAGTCTAGCACAGCAGGACTAGTGGGGGGAGCTTCATAGGTGTGCTGGCTTTGTCAGAGGGCAGCTACGGAATTGATCAGACGTTTCGGGTGACTCACGATCGACTTCATCAACTTCCTGAGGTCAACTGGGGCGAGTGGCGTAGAACGAGCGTAGCATGAACGTAGCATGAGCGGCGTAACGTGGGTCTCGATGCGAGTCTCCACACTGTACACTGTGCACAGCCCTTGAAACGGCCTTTCTTGCTCACAACGTGACAGGATGTGCAGTTTTTTCCGCAGTTGGACAGATCTTGGACTGCCTTGGCCGAAAAGAAAGCTTTGATCAATCGGAGTCGAGGTGGTCGTGGTGATTTTGTCGACCTTTGGCATTTCGCACTCTGGGGAATGGTTAAGACATGCTGGATTTCCTCTGATGGGCTACTGGGAGGTACTGCGATTTTGCTTCGACACGAGCGGCCAAGGTGGGATTGTGGTCACCGAGAACATGAACATGATGGAATACCAATTCCGCCCATGCCTCAGTAACAAACCTGCTGTAGCTGTTCACTGTAGACAAAATTGCATGAGTAAAAATATCTTGTTGTAGCTCATTTCTGTATATAGGTGCTAGGTTTGATCTGACCTAGGACCTACTAGTATGAGAGACAGCTTAATCTAGATGTTTGAAGAATGCACATGCAATGCTTACCGTCCAATCTTTCGTTCCTGGATATACTTTACCTCACGGCCTCACGGTATATACATCAACTCTCCGCCGACCTAAATCAGGATAGGTGTGTAACCGTGACGTCAAGCTGACAACAACATCCGCTTGAGAGATTGTGCCCTCTAAACGACGTGAGTCACGGAGGTTGAGCCGCACGTTGTTTGTTTGCCAGATTCCGTGGCCTTGTGCACCATTGTGCGCCTAGCAGTGCAGAGTCAGAACCAATGGCCATTTCAGCACTACAAAACCTACAACAGTTGATGCAAATGTTTGCCTGTTTGCCGAAGCACCAGCAAATGTGCAGGCCGAAATGCATCGCCAACTCTTTTCAGGTATGCTCAGGTTGATGTGAGCGCAGTACTACCTTGCATCAGGGACTTCCAAGCTTTGTAGCTGAGTACTCCTTGACATCCCTTTTTCCCCAAACAGGTTTACCTGTGAGGGGTTCTTACTCCTTTTAAAGGGGTGCATGCTCGGGCCGGATGATTTTGAGTTTGTCTCCGGGCTTGTGTTCCTGGCGGCATGATTTCACCCTTGTCTCCCACTTGTCCCACTTGTCTCCCAGTAAGCTCTGGATGCTCTCAGTGCTCTGGCCGTATGATTTTATACTTGTCTCCCATTTGTCTCCCACTTGTCTCCCAGTTGTCTCCCAGTAAGCTCTCGATGCTCTCAGTGCTCTGGCCGCATGATTTCAGGCTTGTCTCCCATTTGTCTCCCACTTGTCTCCCAGTAAGCTCTGGACGCTCTGAGTGCTTGGCCGCATGATTTCACACTTGTCTCCCAAATTTGTCTCCCACTTGTCTCCCACTTGTCTCTGCACGCACCAACGCGCCCCACATCACCCCCGATGACCGCCGCCGACTCGACCTGATCGTGCATAGCGCCTCGCCACATGGGGAAACGTGGTGCTGCGATGCCACCCTCGTCTCCGCCCTGACGCGCGACGGTGCCCCCCTCCCTGGGGCCGCTGACGCTGATGGTGTCGCGCTCCGCCGGGCTGAGCGGCGCAAACGCCGTCGGTACCCCGAGCTTGCAGCTGGAGGCCCGCAGCAGCTCCTCGTCCTTGCCTGCGAGGTCGGTGGCCGCTGGAACGCGGAGTCTTTGACCTTCGTGCGCCGCCTCGTCCGACTTCGCGCCCGGCGCGCCCCCCCCGCTCTCCGCACCGCTGCCGCTGCCGGGTGGAGCCGCCGCTGGTGGGGCCTTCTTGGCGTCGCCCTCCAGCGCGCCTTGTGCTCGACGCTGTTGGGGGACGACTGGCGCGCGCCGCCCTGCCCCACTGGCCCCGCCGAACTCCCCCTCGGGGAGATCCTGGCGCTCGCCGGGGCCCCGCGCGTAGTCGTCTCCCCCTGCGGCCGTGAGCCGGCAATGCCCGGCTGTACATAGAGTGCCCGCCGCTATGTACGACAGGTCGCCTCCGAGGGAAAAACAAAGCTCTGGACGCTCTGAGTGCTCTGGCCGCATGATTTTATACTTGTGTCCCATTTGTTTCCCACTTGTTTCCCAGTAAGCTCTGGATGCTCTGAGTGCTCTGGCCGCATGATTTTA